GCTTTTAGTTGCTTTTAGAGCTTCACCGTTTGGTGCCAAAGAGGGCCATTCAAAATATAAATGCTAAAGTTCTCGCTTAGTTGTATTCTTTTAAAATGCTGCATTTAATTTACTTTCAAACAGAAGATAGCAAAAGATGTTGGCCATTGATGTCTGTATACGAACTACATTTAGAGAATAAAAATAAAACATGGTCAGCCGATCTCACACTTATGGCATATTACCAAATAGCGAGATAAAATTAACAGAGATTAGCTAGTACGAATTAGTTTAATAAAAGCATGGCCATGTTTGTATGCGGTGTAAGGTTAAACATTTGCTATTTCTGATCTCCACTTATCATCCTCGTGTTGTTGTTACCTAATTCAACATAGCACCAATGCATAAGAAGATGCTTTGTAATTAAATGTAGGTGAGCCTTTGGGGTTAGTATGTATTTTATTCATGAATTGCTCCATATATCCTCAATTATAGCGGCATTATAAGATGTTTGCTTTAGAAAAGTTGAAGAAGTTGAACACTTTTTGCATGCAAATAAAATTAGATAAAATCTGGACATTCACTTTTTTTCAAACTGGCCAGAGGCGAAGTGAAATACTGAATCTCAGAATCTCCTGTCTGCAAATGGTAAGCCAATTTAAGCCAGAGCATTAACACTTGCTTGCCGTAAATCCCACTCGCATAAATCGAAGAGTACCGACAGGAAATGACCTCCCAGTGGTAGTCTCAAAATGCAGCACCTCTTTTGACTTTATAAGTGGTAATATCCGGCAGAATGTGCTATCTTTAGGAAATTACGAGTGGAAGTATCTATAGATTAGTAAGAGGAGTTCTCGAGTGTAAGTCAGCACAAAATTGCTTTGCAGACAAATATGAAGGCAAATCTTTTATCGCTTATATCGAGTTTCCCCTGGCCGTTCTTCTAGTCCGAATGCAAAAGCCTTGCTGGCCACTGACGACGATAAACGGTGAATGGATGCTTAGCGTGCTACATGAGGATCTGCCTATTCTTGCCTACTTAAGTAGTTGTTACAGTGATAAGCTTAACCCCTTTATAACCGAAATGCAGCTTCCTCTTTACTAAGTTTAAGAGAAAAATATGAATTTTAAACTGTTTAAAACATCGAAATAAATACAAGACAGTTTTAATTTATTGACAAACTTAGAAGAGCTCAGTCTTAGTCCTACAATTTGGCGCTGTACCCAGTCGCCTGGAGACAAGGACGGGCCCAATAAAGCAGTCAAGTCGAAGTAAGAGCATAAAGTGCAGAAGCAATTTACTCACCTCAGGTTTTCTATTGCCTTTAATTGTTGGAACTACGTCGGCTTCTTCACTGGCTGAGCAGGCGGACTGGCTGTCTTCCCACACCGAATCATCAGCATCGTCTTCGAAATGAGGCGAGATGGGAGGTCCCACTACAGACAAAATTACACCTGACCGTTTGCCAACAAGAGATTGTGCCAATTGTCTGTCATTTTCGCGAACCAGATAAGCTGGAACCTGGTCTCCAGCCGGCTTTCTGCTTCCGGGGCTCGTGGAAGAGTCAAGGCGGACATGGCTCAGTGACTTGATGTTGCAATCGGTATCACCGTTTATTTTTGTCGAATGCTTCTTGCCAAGTGGAAAAAATCGTGAGATTAGCTAAGATACCAAGGAATAAATGACGATTAGTATGACGAATTATTCATTGCTCGTCAATCCAGTTAAATTAAATCTGAGAAGATCAAAATAGAAGTGATTGTAACTGCGGTAAGACTACGATATAACTTTTTCAAGCAAATTTGCTGTGATTTGGGATAAAATCATATATGTTGGGCTTACTTCCATTTCGAGTAGAAGTGTTTGGTGAAAAGATTCGAAGGTCGGTTCCACCAGAAGA